TATCTTATCTTTTTGATTAACAAGTAGTTGTTGTGAAGATACTTTGGGACCATGTAAGTACTCTGTCCCTTCATTCCATTTTAACCCACGAGTTTTAGCATTCATTGGTTTATTGCCCCTAATTTCTACAGTGACTGACAAAGAGTAATTTAAAAATTCTATCCACATTTGTTGGTAGACAATCTATTGTAAGGACGAGATTTCCCTTCTCCTAATTAATTAATTAACATCAGTGTGGACTCATGGGTAGCTATTTTATTCAATTACTATTATTGCTTTTGACACTCAAATTATCCCTGATTTGACCTATGTGGGCCCTTTCAGGCTGGCTTCTGTGTCCTTTTGACACATCCCCATCATTCTTTGAATATTTTATTTTCTGGAATAAAAATATATTCCAGCCTTGAAACCAGCTATTTCCTGACAATCAAAATCCAAGCTCTAGGTGTGCTTTATGTTCCTGGAGTGGTGTTCCCAGTCCTCTCAGCATTCAGAGTTAGGATACATATATGTGAACAACACACACACTTTTGCATAATGGATATGTGTGTGTGTATGTATGTATATACATAAAACACCGATAGTTCCAATTCTAATCCAATATTTACTCTCACATTCCCTTTTATTTGTACTTCTCCATCAGTGAGAAACCTGGATTCTGTATCCTCAAGATATCAGACAGCATTTGGAAGAATAAGCTTAATTGGCTAAGGCTGCAGTATAGGGAAGTATAAAGAAAGTGCCTGAAGAGGAATTAACTGTGCAGATGGAAGCCAGGAGAGCAGTGTCTTTCTGGGGGGCTTTTGGGGGTTGTGGGGTTAATGAATGTTCATTATAACCGCCAGGAAGTGATAAAAGCCCATAATGGTTTATGTTATTGCCTGGATGGGATTAAAGCCTGACTTTAAAGAAGTCAAGAAGTAAGGTATGAATATTGAGTTTGTAAGTATATCTTATTCAGCCTCAGATTTTTATTCTGCACCCTCACCAAATCTAGTTTTACTTGTAATTCACCAAAGGTCTAATCAATCAGCATCCTCAAAAATTGTAAAATCTTCCATAAAAAAGTTACACAACTCCCCAGTTTGAAATTTGGGGATGCTTGGGGTGCTGTTCTATCCTTTTGGATTAATAAAGTCTAGCAAAATCTGTGAGTTTGGAGAACTTGTGTTTAGTCTTTTCTTTCTGTTTCTTATTTCAAACAAATGTGCTGTACATCGCTCCCCAACCCGCTTCTCTGCATTTTTAAAACAAGTATACTTTGCAAAACCATGGTTCAAAGTGTTGCAGATGAAAGTCTTCCCTCTGTCCGTATTTAATCTTGGCAAAAATGTTTAGTAGTGCATGACATCATAACATAAGAGCATCTATGTACAAACATATACAATTTTATTGATATCTCTACAGACTACAAGAATTTTAAGTATAGTCACAATTGCTGAGTGCAACAGAAAAATAGTAATTTGTCATTTTCTGAAAAGATGCAAAAATTCTGAAGATGAAAGAAAGATACATCAATGATGTCATCTGTTTCTTATTTCCTAGAATAAAACATCACATAATTAAGTACTAAAAATTATAGGTTATTAGAGATTTTGATTCTGTGTACACTTGTCCATGACCACCACCTAGTTTATTTTCTGGCTTTGCAGTTGAGAAGCACAGGCCAATACCAGAGGGGAGCACTAAGAGAGGAGAGAACTCTCACATTTTCTCATTGAGGGTTATTGCCTTGGATAGGCAGACTTTCCCTTTTTGAAGGTGAAGACAGTCTCTCAGGGCACTGAAGTCCAGATAGTGAGTTACAGACATTCTTCTCCCTTTAAACACATGTCCAATAACTAAGAAAAAAAATATAAGTGGCCCTGGGAGCTAAGACAACAATCAAAAAGGAACTGCTGTTCTTCCTTCTTGCTAAGATCAAGTCCAGTAAAATATACTACAGCAGAACAGGTACCTAGTACCCGTGTCTCCTCCAAATGAAGAAATGAATAATAAATTTGGGCCTGATTTAATAAGATTGTTTTAATTTCCACTATCCAACTACTAAGAATTAGTTTTCCACTTAGCTTTGCATTCTGTTGAATTTCTTATATTTCTTCTGGTATCTTGTGATGTCACATGTATAAGACAATCAAAACCTAGATGTTTGAATAGGAATAATGGCCAAGTCACATGGGAGAAAAATCACAAAGACAGAATTATTAAGTCAGTGGGGCATTGCCTGGTCAGAAATTTGCACAGAACATTTGTTTTGGGTTACAACACAATAATTCTCAATCCAGACAACACTGTATCTCTTGCATCTTGCCTTCCACGACTCCTCAGAAGTGGGGCTTGGATACCAGCCGAGGTAGACAAATGTGTCTTCCTTAATTGGCCATAAAGCTGTGTTTGTCAGCCAAGTGGAACCACATTGGGGGCTTTCAAAAATAACAATGTTCAGGTCCCACTCCAAGAGATTTTGATATAATTGGAATTGTAAAAGCTTCTTAGGTGATTCTCATGTACAGCCAAGGTTGAGAATCAGTTCCCTACATAAATATATAAATAAAAGCAGCCATCTGTGCCTCTAGTTTCTCATCAAAACCTCTTCCACTTAACTCTGGCTCTCATGTCCCTCCCCACCCCAGTCCTCTTGCGCCAAGTTGGCACTTCCTCTTACTTTGCAAAGTCAGACCTTATCTTCTGCATTTTATCCCTTTAGGGCTATGTTATACGCAAAAATGTATGCTAAACTTGCTACACAACAACCATACTCCCTGTGATGGTGCCATCCAGAATACATGACTTACTGGCAAGTATCTCTGGCACCTGGAGCAGTGTGTATATGAAATAGTATGTAGTCGGTAATGGGGTTGGTGTTACAGAAGACAAAGGTGAGGAAGCTGTGACGGCTACCACTTTTCTCCTGATGCAAAGAGCAAACCCTGATAGAAATGTGAGTCCTTTTGGCATTGCCTCTCAAAGAAAGTAGTCAAGTTATAATGTCTTTCCATAGGGTCAGACTGTAATCACAGATATTCTCCTGGGTTGTCCCAATGATCCTAAACCAAGGAGAGGATTTTTAGCTTACTTTTCTAGACCTTTTTCATTTTTCCCTTCTGCCAAACATTTTATAACCAAGTATTTAAAAGAGCTCATTTTCATCTTCTTCAACTAACCTTGGGCATAATCTCTCTCTCTCTCTCTCTCTCTCTCTTTCTCTCTTTCTTTCTCTAAGCCCTGGAGAACCCTTAATGCCAATAACAGATGGTACATTTAAAATTGGACACATAGATCACATAAAAAGGGACTCCAACAATAAACTTTTTCCTTTTATAATCCCTTAAGATCTTTGAGGAATAGAAACCTGGATTCTGATTTATTAACTTGAGAATCACTCCAAGGCTATATAAAAGATTTGAAAAATTGTCTTTATGACTAAATTATCGGGAAACATCTCTCTCAGTTCTGTCACTATCCTTCCAAAGTTAGATGATGGCCCCTATGGTGATTGGGGCACTAAGTCTGAGTCTTAAGTGTAGGAAGCAAAGCTGTAAGGGATTAAAATAAATGATAAATCAATCATCCTTCCCTCCAAACACCAAGGTTAATGGATGATTTCATGGTGGGGATTACTGCTCACATTATTAGAATCAGGAAAACAAATACTTCTGGCTTCTTATTGGTGAATAGACCACAAAGACCCATTTTCCCCTGGGACACTAAGAAGGGCTTATCTCCTGAGGGAGTCATAGGGAGATAAAGTCAACTTGGAGACTGTGGTTTGCAAGCCTTCTCTTCTGAAGCCACCATAGTAGATATAATGTAATTTTGATGACAAAGACTCAGAGTTATTTTCTCTATCATTGTCCAAGTTACTAGGAGTATTTTTCTTATGTTCCAAGATAGAGGCAAGACATTTAAACAGTGGAGAAGAGAGATGTTAAGAATTACATGGATCAACAGTGCTCATTTTCCAAAGATGATGATGATGATAAGATGGTGGTGGTGGTTGTGATGGTGTGTGTGCATGCACATGCATGCTAAGGTCAGTGCAACAGAACAGAAAAGTTCAAAGAGAAAAATCACATCCACATCAGATTCTTGTTATTGCTGTCTCTTTGAATTATAAAAATAATTCTGATACAGTAAAACCTCATTAATTTGTATTCCACTAATCAGGAGTTGGGGAGATGAAGTATACATTTTCTGACTCTATCATCTTTTCTCAAAACTACTGAGAACGTTTAAAGGAATTGCCACTTCAAAAAAATACACTAAGAATTAAATCTAAAAAAACAAATACTATTTGGGACTACTAAAATAACCTGGATTTCAGGAAAAATGGTGAATTCCTAGGAAACACAAATGCAAATCTGGTAAGACCTGGAATAATCAAAATTCATTAAGCCAAACCCATTAATTTTTTTTTAAATTCTTTTTGAAGGAACAACATATTACAGGATGGGTACAAGAACCTGCATATATTCATTTTCTATGACTTTTAATTTCCAGACTCATGTTAAATAATGATAGCAGGTGTCTTTATTTATTTATTTATTTGCCTCTAGAGCCTCGCTGTTATGACAGACAACTTTTATCATATTAAGGGTATGCCTTAATTCACTTTTAAAAGAGTTTTTAATAAGGAAAAGGTGTTCGGTATCTACTGACATAATTTGTGGCTTTTATCATTTAGCCTAAAGAGTGACAAAATTATTCATTTTGTATCATTAAATTCTCTCTGTATTTCTGTTGTCCATAATGGTGACTAAGGCCAACATAGCAAAAATACCACATTTTATAAAGATTTTCAATAATAAGTATTGAACCAAAAAGTATTTACTAATGAAAGCCCTTGTTAATCAGAAATGTAGTAAATCAGAATCTCTTTCCCAAAACATTAACTGAGGTTTTACTGAATCATATTAAAGAGAATGACCAGTTTGGTCTGTGAGTGTCAGGCTGCAAGAGCACCTTTGGATTGAAGACACCACTGGGCTTGAACAGTAATATACTGTGTAAGTGGCAGACAAAGATACAAATGGAGCATTAAAAACATATCCCTTTAGAAACTGAAACCAGAGTGTGCGAAATCAGTTCTCAAAGCTAACTGCACTGTTCCTGTAGTCTAGTTTCCCCCACCTTATCATCAACTCCCCTGCAGAGCACAAGCCAGGCTGCAAAAATGCTTTGAGGTGACCCCACCCTGCACGGTTTATGACTAAAAATAGCCAATTGTTCTGAAGGTGACAAATGGAAGTTACTGTGTGAGGAATGACTTACTATCCTGGCAATACTCGATTATGACTGATAACGGTGATGATGTAAAATATTATGGAAAGACAAACATTAATCAGACTCTTGCCATAAGAATTCAATAATGTCCTAGTATAATGAAAGTTATAGATGAGAAGAAAACTCTGGTTTTCTTTTCTTTTTCAGTTGGGTATGGTAAAGGTACTTGAAATACACTGATATCTTCTAATGCAGATTTTTTAAATTGTCAGGTGTGGCCCAATTTATAAAAATAGTTTGCCATAAATCTTTTTTTCTTCTGTCACAACATGCTTTTTTTCTTTTCCTCTTAAGATGTTAATTTATCATGCAAAGATTTTTTTTTCATTAAGTGCATTAATGCTTTTGTACAGGATTTTTTCAAATCAGAAGGACTCCCCGTAGTTCCTAAATGCAAATCCTTAGCAAATGACAGGCCAAGATGATAGCTCCATTCCACGTTGGGAAAAGGCAAATTCAGCTGTGTCTTGGGATTTTAACCAGGAGTCCCGCCTTTGGGTTGTACAGTGTCTAATAAATTTCCCTTATAATAACTTCAGATGGACTGTAATGGAACATTTTGTAGAAGAAACTGGCTTCTAGCAAGTTGAATAGTGATGCTGGGAATAAATTTGGTTTCCCTGAATAATGGTTTCTCAAAGCAGTGACAGCTTCTTTAGAAGTTTAGAATTGGTACCATTTCTTATCCTTATATTTCAGCATTAACTGCAAAGAAAAAATAGTCACAATAAAATGTTTTTAAAAATCTTTAAAAATACTAGCCAAAGCAAGCTCATATTGAGCCAATCATGCATATCTAAATCTTAAATTTATAAAACTTCCTTTACTTTTTGAAATAAAGTACATATGAAAAGATTTTTTAAAAATAATCAAGCTGAAAAGACTCAGCTGATTTTTAATGATTAAAGCAAAAAGTAGTGTATGGATTCCAGCTTCTAGTGCCCTCACACCTTTTTTGGGGGAGGGGGGAGGATCATATAATGTACCTAAGCACCTTTTTAGTAGCAGATGCACAATATAGACCCAATGTATCAGAACCAATGAATAATTTTATTTTAAATTCTCTCCTAAGGTATAGTATTAATATAGTATTTAAAAACGTTTCTCTTCCAAATACTGGGGGAATTATGACACTTATAACGAGATCCAGGTTACCCTGGCTCTCACACAGGATTACTTACAGTGACATCTCTGGGCTTTCTTGGGCAGGGCCCCAGTGTTTCAAGTTATTATTGTATGAAGACACTATATTAAGCCGTTTACCTCATGTGCATGTTTGGAAAATGCTTCTGCGCTGGTCATCATGCCTGCAGTCTTCTCCTCCAGCTCTCCTAGCCTCTGTCCTCTCTCATCAAGTGCGATCCGAGCGCGTGTCAGCTCTCCCATCACCCCTCCGGCAGCACCTTTCATCCCTTCTATACTACCTGGTCCGGGAATGTGCTGTGCCAAGCTGCGAGATGCTCTTCCTGCTGAAGCTTCCCCAACTGGGAATTCAAGCCATAGCAATTTAAGACATATTGTCAGTAATTCAAATAATTAGAATCAAGTTTATCACCAAAATACTTACCTTAAATTCTAGTGTCATAATTCTCATTGAGAGAGAGATATATTTGTTCTTATTGTAGATGTGTATTTGGAGATGTTAGCTTTTACCCACGAAAATATCTACAAAAGAGTCTGAGACTGTGAGGTAACCATATTGTTACTGCCTGTCTTTGTACGTGTGTGGATTCCATGCAATATGTCATCATTGCATTTCTTGACATTGCTGACTTGGGATGCTCACAATATATGTGATTTCATATTTAACCCATATCAGGGTCTGTTCCAATCTTAGATCTGTTCATTTGTTTAAATTTCTGCCCATCTTCATTCCTACCATCTCTCTTCATCTTGCTATCATCCTCTGTAGGCCTCAGTTGTTGTTACTGTTTAAAGATGTGTGTGTGTCGGAGGAAGTAAGTACTAAAGAACAGGGTATGCATGATGGACATTAGTATACATGTGTTGAAATTTTGTTACTTTATAAAAGAAAAATTTCCCTATCATTTACAAAGTTCAGTTTAATTTTAATGATTTTTTTGGAAGTTTTTATTGAAAGACAGTTATCTTGGTAGAAATTTAGTGAGCATTCTTAAGGATGTAATATTAGGAGTAATATCAAAAGGTATTTTTTTAAATTAGAGGCTTATTGAGATATAATTCTCATACTTTATATACATAAAGTGTATGATTCAGTGGTTTTAGTGTGCTGACAGAGTTATGCAACTATCACCACTATCTAATTTTAAAACATTTTCATTACTCCAAAAAGAAACCCTGAGCCCATTAGCAGTCATTCCCCCTCCCTCCTTGCCCCAGTGCTTGGCAACCACTAATCTACTTTCTGTCTTTATGGATTTGCCTATTCTGGACATTTCTTATAAATGGACTCATACAATATGTGGCCTTTTTTCCTTCTTTAATTTAGCATGATGTCTTCAAGTTTCATCCCTGTTGTAGCATGTATCAAACTTCATTTCTTTTTATGGCTGAATAGTATTCCATCACATGGAGGCACCTAGATCTTTTGCTTGGTGAAAGTTCAAGAGAAAGGAGTTTTGATCTTCAAGACCAAATAGGGCTAAGATATTCTGGGAAATATATTCTTTCTGAAAATGTTCCCTAGTATCTTTCTACTCCTTTTTGATTATTCATCAGAGTTCCACTGGAAGAATTTTAAAGTAATTTATTCTGTAGCATTGATAAGCTTTGTGTTCTGAATAAAGAATCTGTTTCCCAGCAGTGATTAAAGGCAGGAAGATTCACAAATATTTTTTCCAGAATTTAGTAACTGAATATCTTCACCCTGTCTTGCAGGTATGATCTACTTGCAAATGATGTATTTATTAGCTTACTCATTATTTGTATGAATTGCATGTACTGTTTTTTTTAAACTATTTCCTAATATGAAGTAACCGATTTTATTCATGTTTGGTAAAAAAATAATTTTCATGGTATAGAAGCAAAAAAACCTGGTCTGGAATTTGAGACCACATATTACATTAAGTTACACACAGAGAGAGAGAGAGAAGAGAGAGAGAAAGAAGTCTTCTATTCAATGGTACAGTTTCATAATCAGGAGTTTACTCACAGAGCTCTTCTCTGTCAAATGTTTGTCCACTTCCACCAAACAGTCCCTTGAGAAAGCCTCTGTTTTGAGCTTCTGGTGTCTCAATGGGAGTAAACAAATCTCCTAGCATGTCCTGTATCAAATTCAGACAAAAAAGCATTAAAGTAACTAAAAATAAAGTGATAGAAAAAAGATAACCCTGTAGTATGTTAAAGCACAGAATAAAGAGATAGCCTGCTTTCCATATATTTTCCTGGAGATTTTTGCTTTGCTCCATTTTATTTCTGGCATTTCTTCTCTACCTCCTTTTCCTTTCCTTCTCTAGTAACTGACATCTGAAAATTTTCATTTTTCTGTTCTCTTCTCCGCTTTACAGTTAGAAAACATGAGAAGCTAATATATTTACCTTGGGATTAATTTCTACTTCTTAGGACCCTTTTTCAATTACCATAGCCTCTTTCCTGTCCTAACCCCTTTCCTGAACCAAGCACGGACAACCCTATGAAGAAGGAAGCCTTTGGTAGTATGTAGAGGAATTTTGGATTTATTTTTATATGCAGTACAAAACTAGGAAATGGTTCAAGACAAATGAGTCAAAATATAAGTCAAAAATGAGCCTAGCTCCTGCATAGTGAGATACAATTGTTTTCAATATTTGATGTGTTTTAGAATGACTGGAAAAATCCCTTGTTAGAAATACGGATGCTTAGGCTTTATTTCACACATACTGAATCAGCATCTATATAGATGTGCTCTGGTTATCTATATTTTTAATGTGTTCTCCAGGTCTTTCTGAAGCAGACCAAAATTTGAGAACCACTGGTGTGGAGGAAGGTACTTAACCAAAAGTCAGGAGATCTGTGACCTAGTATCAGTTTGTCTCTGAACCTGCAGCCTGACTTGAATCTTCATCTTCTTCCTCTCACCTCTACTCACCAGACCTGTGCTCTTCCTCCTGGATCCCTTCTCTTTGCAAATGGCAGCACCATCTACTTAGCCAGAAACCCAGGAATAATTATTAATTCCTTCTTTTCCCTCACTGCTACAACTACTAACCCTCCAATCCAACTGATTATACTTTATAGCGATTGAATCTGCTAACTTTTCTCCATTCTCACTGCTGGCTGCCTTATTTTAAGACATTGTTATTTTTGGCCTTAATTATTTTTAAAAAAGCCTCCTAATTGTTCTCCCTTATTTCTTGAAACAATACGCAACCAGAATCTTAGTTTTCATAAACAAATCTGTTAAACCTTTTTAATGACTTCCTGTTGCCCTTGGGATAAATGCCAGATTCTTTAGGCTCTTACCAGGTGATCCCAGATCTGTTCTGGAAAAATTCTCCAGCACTATCCCTCCATCCTTTTCACTAACTCTTCACTTTGTTGGCAGTTTCCTGAACCCCCAGGGTCTTGCACGCAACTATTCTGCCTGGAATATCATTTCATTTTCCATTCCCAGCTATCCATTCCTATGGACAACTCTTACTCCTTACAACCCTTTTCTAACTAGCCCTCTCTGCTCTTCTAGCAACCCAGGGGCCCCTCTTCCATGTCTCTCCATCTCTGGCATAGCCACATACAGGCAGTCTCTTCCAGAGTGCTGTGGTTGTCTCTTACTTCCCTCCACACTAGTGGGTAGGGACTTGTATCTTGTTTTATCACTGTATTCCTACAGCCTAGCCAAGTACCAGGCATATGGTAACAACCCAGGAAGTATTTACTGAATAACAATAATAAGAACATTATTATTTATTTTAAAAATATACTATGTTCCAGGCACTGTGCTCAGCATTCTTACTTAATTCTCACAACAGTGCTCCAAGACAGAGCATATGGGTGGGTTAAGTAAAATGCCCAAGGTTATACAAGTGGGCAAAATACAACTGAAAGAGTTCAGAGCTTATACTCTCAACCTCTGTATTAAAATGGGTGGGTTTTAGTTTTCTTTTTTGTAAAATAAGGGGGTTGAACCAATTAAATCTCTAAGATGCTCTTTTCAAATTTTGTAACTGCTTATCCAAGGTTAGATAGGCATTTATATTTATTCTGTTTCAAGGCTCTGTTTACTGCTATGATAAAAGACAAATGCCCAATTCTAACCCACCGGAAATGTATTTATTTTGTATGGCTCTTAATCAAAATTAATATTTCTTCAAAAAAAAAGTCCATGAGCTCCCTGAATTGTATGCAAAATTTTTGTGTATACATGCATATTCCCCACCTTGGGGGGAGAGAGTTTATAACCTTTTTTTTTAAGAGGGTTTATAATCTTACAGAGGATTCTCCATAGGTAAAACAACAACAACAACAACAACAAAACAAAACAAAACAAAAAAACAAAGAATAAAATGAACAGCAAAAAATCAACCATTAATATGTATGATCTTCACTTTCTCCCTCTCACTTCCCTTTTTTCTTATTTTTTTCTGTGTATACCTAGACACACACCAAACTTGACAGGGTTGCAATGATGAACATATATTCAAAACATATTCTAGGGAAGGCATATTTATTGCCTGGCCCAATAATATTTTAGCTTTTAGATATCTCTCTCATTCTCTTTTTACAACCATGTCCAGTGTTTATTCATAAATGTGCCTGACCTACCTGAAGATTATCACACATCTCTTGGCTGTATGTTAACCGCTGAATTTCAGTAGGAGAGACGAGGTATAATGCCTGGCCTTCATTGGTAAAACAAAATGTCCGTGCTATCCTCATGTCTGTCAGTGGCAAATAATTAACATCCAACATTGGGCGAAGACTAGGTAGGCTGAATGGAAAAAAGCAAATCCACATTTCATATTCAGGTTGTTAGAAGCTTTAATTTCTCTGTGTAAAATGTGCAGACCCTTACATAAAAAATTATTTTTATACCACTATTTTATGGTTGTTTCTTTTTATTCTCTTGAAGTCTCAATGGTAAAAAAAACTAGACTTTCACATTAAATCATATATACACAAAAAATCATGGGCCCCGTCCTTTATCTTAATCCACACAGATACTTAGCAGATATCCTTGAAGGCAGGATTAAATGCAGTGGCCAGCAATTTCAGGATACTTTTTGCAGCATTTCACAGATTCCTACAATATGGTTATAGTCTTTGGTTATGGCAGAAACACTATAGCTAGAAAGTGGCTGACTGCATACTTGCCCTACTATCTCCTTTTAAGGCAAAACTCCTGAGTCTGAGGAGGTTATGCACTGATGGACATGTGGAATGGATCCAGTTCACTGTGCCTGGCAAGTGGCTTTGCTCCCCATTCCTCTACTCCCTCTATACACAGGATATGAAAATTACCTATAACTTAGGTCACCTGTGCTGAAGGCATGATGAATAAATAAACATGGTTAAGGTTATAAGGGAATGAGAATAAGTTACAGATAATAGAATTTGCATAGCCAAATGAATACCACTCATCTCAAGTGTCTTACTAAATGGCTATAGTCTTATCCTAATGTTGTAGCCCATGATTTTGCTTATTCATTAGAATGACCCTTTGGACCTGAACAATTGGTCTCCCTTTCTTTTCTCAATAGAACTTAGTTTCCTCAAGATATTTTACAATCCTTAATACTGCTCAGAACTTGAGTTTTGAAGAGAGTATAAAGAATGTCCCTTTGGATACTGCCATGAGCCAGTTTTGCAAACTACTGAAGAAAATTAATCTCATTGCTTTTAGATCACACCTCTAATGCCAAAAGGAGAAAAATAAACTTGTCATTAAATCTCAAGCTTTGAAATCATTCAACTGATTCTGATGTGTATAATGATTTTAGATTATCCCGGATCATAAAACCAGTACCTTGAAAAAAAGTACTGATTTCTCATAAAAGTAGTTTGTAATTTCAAGTTAAGCCTTAGAACTTTATCATATAAAATGGGATCTGAAATCTGTGCAGTTGGAATAAGCTTTCCATGAGGTTCTAGCAATATATTGTCCAACATGGTAGCCATTAGCCATATATGGCTATTGAGCAGTTGATATGTGTTTTGTGTGAACTGAGATGTTCTGTAAATGTAAATTATATACTGGATTTCAAAGACTTACATGTTATGGCATTTCAAGTAATTAAGATCTTTAGGATAGCAGTCCAAAACAAACCCAGTTACACAGACTTCCATGATAGATTCAGTCAAATTAATGGGTGGCAGTGGGCAAGGGATTCCAATGGACTTTTCTGATAAACTACATTATTTATGTAGCATAATAAAAGTAAGCCAAGAAAACAAAAATGGTGTACTTTAGGTAGGAAAAGGAAAACAGTAATTCAATTGCTAAAGACTAGCAACTAAGTGATTTTAGTATATGTGCTGCCGAAGCAAGCACGGAACAACGTGATTTTAAAGCTGAAAAATAGATTTTTTTCTGTGCAGGGGACACTTTATAAGGAAAGAGTACACAAAACTAGCAATGGTTCTCACTAAAAATGACTATCACAGCCCAGTTTGAGAACTCATTTATAGATAAGCCTCCAGTATCCCTTTCTACTATTTTCTAGGTCTGGGTACACTAGCATATAAACAATCATTAGCTACCTGCCAACTAGCAGAAAGGTAGGACTTGAGAAGAATGGACTCAGTATAGTTCATTTCTGATAGGATCTGGAAAGATCTAGGAAAATACTTAGCATGGGAAGATGATCAATTGGTAATGCCAATTCAAAGGATTCAGTTCTTCAAGCCACATATTATTCCCTAGCTACACCTAATATATTATAAAATCATCCCAAAGTAATTTCCTTTCAAATATTTTTGAAATCCTCAGGAACACATGAAAATTTTCCACTAGGACATAATATTAAAGTAGCATTATCATGTAAAGCAGCTTTTACAAAGAGCAGAGGAAGACAGAGATATCATCTTAACTCTCCTGTTGTTATGACTCCTGTTCTTTTTTTAAACTCTATTGTTTTTATTTCTCAAGAAATTTCCCTTCTTAAAATGTCAATGGTAGCACATATTTATTTAAATGGAAATTAATTTGCAGATATACCCAAAATCATTCGAGAAAACAAGACACACTAAAATTTTGCAAAAATAGGGTGATCACTATCAAGCTAAAAATCTCAGTTGTGACAACAGTTTAATGTCTTTTAATTTAAAATAAAAATTTGGAGTGACTACATGGGAGCTTAGGGGAGGGCATGTATGGGTGATACATTTTTTCCCCCTCAAAACTAAGGCATTCTAGGAGTTAAGTCATCATTTTCAAACAAGACTGGAATGATTTTCATGACAAATACCGAAAAACAGTTTGAGAAAGAGAAACCAGATAAGAAGAGAAAGAACCAGAAGTATCTAAGAGAATGAGAAGACAATAAATGTTTTTATTTTTTCAAAACTTTAACTACTTTTCCTTGGGTTACAAATCTACTCATGTCTCCCCTATTAAAGAAAATAAAACAGTAAAAACATTCTTGAAAACCTGGTTTTGCTGTTGAACTGCTTTCCTATCTCTCATCTCTCTTTTTAACCACAGAATTTCCTGAAAGAATAATCTATACTAGGGGTTGGCAAACTTTTATTAAAGTGCCAAATGTAAATATTATAGGCTTTGTAGGTCATAGGGTCTCTGTTACAACTACTCAACTTTGCCTTGTCATGCAAAAGCAGCCAGACATTATGTAAGCAAATGGGTGTGGCTGTGTTCCAAAAAAACCTTTATTTATGGACATTGAAATTTGAATTTCATATAATTTTCACATATTATGAAATATTTTCTGATTTTTTTCAACATTTTAAAATGTAAAATCCATTCTTAGCTTGCAGGCTGTATAATATCCGATTAGAGGGAGGGAAGAATAGATATGGTCTGTGGGTGGTAAGTTTGTCAGCTCCTGATCTATACCACTGCCTCTAGCTCCATTGAAAATTTAGTTTTTGCCTCCACCATGCTCCCGAGATTTGCCTTCTCAGGGATCACCAATACCCTGTTAGTTGCCAGGCCTAGTGTTTCTTCTTCTACCCAAATTCTTTGGCCTCTCTGCTATATCTGCCTACCTCTTGACCATTGTCTTGGTGGTCGTCTATCTTTTGTTTGGATACTCTTCTACCCTTTCATGAAGTTATTCTCATCCTTTTCCTATATCTCTGATGACTTCTCAATATCCTCTGCTGGATTTTCTTTTCTACTACATAAATGTAGAGATATCCTCAAGTTTTTGTTCCCAGATCAGTCTATTTCTCCTTTCTTTTTATACTATCTTCTCTGATGATCTCATTCACTGCTGTAATTTTTACTAAATGCATTTACACAGATGACTTCCAAAGCTGGATCTTCCATATTTTTCTAGGAGTCCAGATCTTAAATGCTTGCCAAACTTCTGCGGGACAGCTTAAAAGCACCTCAAATTCAAGGCATTCATTCTCAAACTTCTCATTATCAGCTTTTCCAAATTCTCATGACTTTCCATCTGCTAATGACATCACTGTTATTCAAGTTCATAAAAAATTTTTTAACCTTTAAATTCTATTCTAATTCTGAGATTTAACGATCTCCATCACCTTTCACAATCAGTTTTACATTCAGCAAGTTTCCCTCAATTATCCGTCACATCTGTTTCTGCCTTGCTTTCTATATAGCTAACATTTTAGTTCAGAAGACCATTTCAAGCTCTCCATATTATTTCTTAATGTATAGCTCGAGCAGATTAGCTACTAACTGATTAATATCAAACTCATTAGCTTTTCATGAAAGGTCCTCAATAATTTACCCCAATCTACTTCTTCAGTTTACCTTCCTCCCGACATCTCCTTTTTAATAACATATACCAACTATCTCATGACTTTGAATTCTGAGGACTTAGTTTGTGTCTAGAAGTTTCGACCCCATATTTCCTCTGTTGGAATATATATGTTCTTTGTATTATAATTACTTGTGTATCTTATCTCCCCCAATTTGATAGTAAGCTTTTTAAGGACTAGGACTATGTTTTTACTAATTTTTATATCCTTCACAGGCCTAGTATAATGCTTTACTGTCTCAGTGATTTTTGGAACCAGGTGAGTTATTAAAACAAATGATAGTGACTTCTACACAGATTATGTTTATTATGTGTTTGTTGAACTCATAAAATCATTAGGTAATTAATTTTGTTTATATCTCATGAATTTTATTTTAATTTATTAAAATTTATTAAATTATTAAATTATTAACGGTATAATGAAATCTCTCAGCTGATATCATATTATTAAGGTTGTCAAAGGGCATAAACTTCTGGTTACAAGATTATTAAATTCTGGGGATCTAATGTACAACATGATGACTTATAGTTAACCATACTGTATTGTATACTTGAAGTTGCTAGAAGAGTAGATCTTAAAAGTTCTCACCACACACACAAAAGTGGTAACTGTGAGGTGATGGATGTGTTAACTAACATTATTGTGGTAGTAATTCCACAATATATACATATATCAAATTATCATGTTGTACACGTTAAACTTACAGAATGTTATATTTCAATTGTAGTGGTAACTTTTAATATACTGTTCAGTGCTGGTCTCACGCTTTCCTAGACTTGCAACATCAGGCAAATTTGAGCTTTAATTTATTAACATATGTAAAATGGAGGATGCAAATACTACTTTTTTTCCCCATGTCCTACAGAAATCATAAGGACCAAATTTAACTCTGTATGTAAAGTCCTTGTGTGGATTATAAAACATAGTGAAAGTAAGTTCATTTCTTTTCCTTAGTTTATTCATTTTTATATTTTATGCCTAGCATAATATCTGAGAGATAACATATGTTCAGTAAATGCTTGTGGATTAATATGTGAATGACTAGAAAAATCACTCATTCCTTAGATTCCTTGAAATCAATTAAAATATATATTTCATTCACAGTGCAATGCATTTTTAGCAAAAGCAAAAAATAAAAAAATAACCCCATAGTCTCCTCAAATTGTCAAACAATAAAACATTCACAAACATAATGAAGCAGTGATCTCAGGTTGCTTCTTGATTGCACATTACACATACACTTTTCAGAACTGTACCTTGGTCACACTGTTGTGATTACCAGATAATTTATAAAGAAGGCAAGTACCTCATTATCATGATATGCCCATTGGCACAAAAGCATGCCAAGCAGGCACTGTTACACATGACCACCACATCTGCTTGCAGTATAAAAGATGTCTCGGTGATGTTATGAACATAAAGACAAGTCTGAGAAGGCAGTGAGAAGACTTTGGCTTGTTTTTCTGAGCAGATTATTGTATACTGATGATCTCCTATTTCTTGGGATGGAGAAGGGCAGTTCATGACCAGTTTCCTTCTCCAAGATTTTTCATTTTCATCTACGTTGTTTGGATCCCTCCAAACTTCATATGGTGGTTGCATTAATCCGCCATTTCGGTCCATACAGGAGAATGTTAGCACAGCTCCTTTCAATGAGAGGAATGTACCTATAAAAACAATTTCATATCACTGGCATGTGAAATTCTTTCTAAAACAGTTGTTATTCATTTATGGGCAGTAAATGTTTTATACTGATAATTTACATCTATAGTGTCATAATATTGCGGTACTATACATATATCAGTAGATTTGTGAGTTCATCATTTGCAATAACTTGGCATCATAGAATGTTAGGTCTAAAAGGGGCCTAAGACATCCACTTGTCAAATCCTTTCATTTTATTAATGAGAAAATGGAGACCCAGAAAAGTGATGACACATAGAATAAATTTCATGAAATTTTAACATATAGAGTTCATGCTCGCAATTTTGATTGCATTAAAAAATCCTTTGGCTCTTAGGCAGGCTTATGCATCTTTATATGGAAAAGAAGTTTACTCACCTGGATTCTCCAAGTTTGAATATCCATGCCCAATTATTACCTATGGGTGTTTTTACCAGTCCCAGAGGACAGGATACTATAAAGCTTAAGAAGTAACCTGCGGTAGATTGACCTTTGGACATTATCAGACTGTCCTTAAGCAATGCTCCAGCAGTCTTTTTCTACCATTGTCCTCTGACATCACGCAGAGAGAGTAAGGGGATTAACCCAGGCTGATATACCTCACAAGTGTACACACAACAGACACTTGAAAAAGGATGATAAATAAAAATACATTCCATTTAGAAAGTACTCTATAATTTAACGTACTTAAAATTTATCAAATTTAAAATAACATGTTTAGGTGATTTAACATCCCAGTTGTGTTTTAAAATCCACTTCAAAACTAAGAAGCCTGTAAATGTCCTACAAGGGTAACTGAAGAAAATAGGAGAGCAGGGTTTAGGCGCTTCAGTGTGAGGGTCAAGGAATAAAAGAACAGTTGTCCCAGTGTCCCATGGGGAAAAAAGATAATGCCAAAAGCATTAGACTTTTACTTGGTACGAGGAAGATTTGGAGAATAGAGTGTTGTAATCTAATTTTCACTTAACAGGATCACTCTTCCTGCTGGGCATATTCTAAAGGGAATCAAGGTTGAACAAAGGGAGAACAGTGAATAGGTTAGTACGTTAAATCAAGGCAAGAAATAGAGGTTTCCTCCAATCAGGTGGTAACAACAGAGATGGTGAGCAATGATCAGAATCTGAGGTCAAACCAACAGAATTTGCTAATAAACTGGATTTAGAGTGTGAAAGAAACATAGTGGTCCAGGATGATTCTAATGTTTCTGACCTGAGAAACTGGAAGGATGGAATTGCCATTAACAGATGTGGGAAAGAATATGGGGGAAAGGAAAAGAATACCAGGAACTCAGTTTTGGACATGTTAAGTTTGAGATGCTTATTAGACATCCAAGTGGATGTTAAGTAACTGGATATCTATGTCAGAAATTTGGAGATGGTTACAGACTATAAATACAGTGGCATTTAAAGTCATGAGGCTGGTTGATTTCATTTTGGCCTTGAATATAAATAAAAAACAGAAAAGCTTTGAGCTGGTCTTTGGGCATTCTGATGTTTTAAGTCCAGTGAAATGAGAAGAAACCAGCAAAGTGGACTGATAAGGAATGGCTAGAAAGTTAGGAAGAAAAGTATATAAATATAGTGTTCTGGAATCCAAGTGAAGTGTTTTTAGTGTAGGGACAATGGTAAACTGTGTAATATGTTGCTGATATGTCAAGTAAGATGTGGCCTGAGAACTGACCATTGGATTTAGCCATGAATTCAGTGGTGACCGAGATAGAAGTTTTTATTGATTGGTATGGGAGAAAGCTTGATTAAAATGGAGACAAGAGAATGGGAGAAGGAAATTTGAAATAGTGAATATAACACAAACATTTCAAGGGATTTTGCATTAAAGAGAAAGAAATGAAATGGAGCATTTTGGGGGATAGATTCAAGAGAGTTTTTCTATTTTATTTATTTATTTAAGATTTTATTTTTTAAAGTAACCTCTACACCCAACGTGGAACTCGAACTCACAGCCCTGAGATCAAGAGTCACATGCTCTACCAACTGAGCCAGCCAGGCACCCCAAGTTTTTCTCTTTTAATGGGAGAAAGAACAGCATATTTGTATGCTGATCTAGCAGAAAGATATTTATTACCATTATAATTACACAATTAGGTGTAATAATACAAATATAATAATTATATAAAGGAAACCGAGGAAAAGTTGCTGGATTGACTTTCTTGACTGTACAAGCAGAGAAGTTGGCCAAGTTGGGAGCTTACACAGTTTAGTCATAATAACAGGAGAAAATATAGAGACCATGGAGAGATAAGCAGACAGGAGATATAGATGTGGTGGTTGAAGTTTTTATCTGCTTGTTTCAATTTCCTCAGTGAAAGAGGACACGTGGTCATTAGCTGACACCGAAAAGAGCAAAGGAGGTATTGGAGGTTTGAGGAGAGTGGAGAAATATAATTGTTCAAGAGCATGGGAGAGAGGACTAGGGAAATATAGTAAATATAATCACCCAGCAGCATAGGAGCCTAGTTGAAGTTATTAATGATTTATTTCAAAATGAGACTATTTATTGTGTTTATATATTTTTCTCTAGCCATGTTCAACTACACAGGCATAGAAATAAAGTAGGTAGAATTAAATTTAAGCAGAATTGTGATTAAACTGAATTTTCATGTGTAATACTGTGATTTATATTCTGTGTGTGACACAGAGCTCCTAAAACCCTTGGAATTTCTAAATGAGAGGGCAACACAGTGTCTTTTATTATGTTAATGAGGTGACTTTTGGACCTCACCCAAGGATGGGGGCTGGTTGCCTGAGGAACCAACAATGTGATTAGAGGTTGAGACTTTTAGTCCCACTCCTTCCCCACCATGGGGCAAGGAAGGGGTGGGGGCTGGAGATTGAATTCAATCACCAGTAGTCAATGATTTAGTCAATCATGCCTATGTAATTAATGAAGCCTCCATAAAAACTCAAAAGGGTTGGTGAATAGGTGGAGGTGCAGGGAGAGTAATGCTCCTGGAGAAGGCTTGGAAGCTCTGTGTTCTTTTCCCTACTCATCTCTTCCATCTGGATGTTCATCTGTAAATTTTAATAATAAGCAGGCAAACGGTAAGTAAACAATTTTCCTGAGTTCAGTGTGCCACTCTAGCAAATTAATTGAACCCAAGGAGGCGGTTGTGGGAACCCCAGATTTATAGCCAATGGGTCAGAAGCACAGGTGATAAACTAGACTTGCAACTGGTGTCTAAAGGAAGGAGAGAGGGCAGTTTTGTGGAACTGAGCCCTGAATCTGTGGGATCTGATAGTTATTTCCAGATAGTGTCAGAATCGAGTTAAATTGTGGGACATCCAGCTGGCGTTGCAAAGAATTGCTTGCTATGGGGAAAAACCTCCACGCGTCTGGTGTCGGAAGTGTTGTGAGTGTGGAAGTAGTGTGAAAGTAGAAGAGGTACACAGGACAAACACAGAAGGAGGAAGCACTGGGTTTTTCCCTAAACAGGAGCCAAGAATTGTAGCTTTTTCCATCCCAACATGTAAAGTTGCTTTTGTAGAATCACCTGGGAGCTTGTTAAAAATGCAAATCCTCAGACTCCACCCCAGACCTACTGAATTGGAAACCCTTGGGCGGGGGCCAATAATCTGTGTTGTAACAAACCCTCCAAGTGATTCTGATACAGACTAAAGGGATAACTACGGGGAATGGATAATCTTTAGGTACTTTTCCATTCTCAGTGGGAAAATTCAATGATTTAGTGCACTTCAAATTTTCATATCATTGAATTTGTTGTCAAGACAACCACAGTAAATTAATGTGAAAGGTTTCCTTAAAAAGGAGAAATGGGCTTTTCTGTGTTGAGTGGTTTTGATTGCTGATTCAATCTCCTTGTTAATTATAGATCTGTTCAGACTTTTTATTTCTTCATGATTCAGTCTTGGTAGGTTGTATGTTTCTAGAAATTTATCCATTTCTTTTAGGTCGTTCAGTTTATATGCATAATTATTGTTCACTGTAGTAGTCTCTTATGATCTTCCAACTAGGCTTTCCCTCCTTTCCATGGTTATTTATAAAACACATCTGAACCTAGCTTCATAGTTAACTCTTTTATGTAGCTCTTAAAAAATACTTTTTTTAAAAGAGCAGTTTTAGGGTTACAGAAAATTGGGTACAGAATTCCCATATGCTCCCTTTGTCCTTTATTATTAACATCTTGTATTAGTGTGGTATATTGTTACAACTGGTGAGATAAAGTCTTGAAAGAACTGGAGAATAATGACAGAAAATTGGAGAAGACAGGTTCCCATTATGTATCTTTAAATAGTCAAGGAAAAGCTTTGCAAATATTAACTAACCAGATACCACATTATTAAGTCTCTACTTATTTTGTATTTTGCCATCATTTTTGGTCTATGTTTGTTAAGAACGGTAAAGGACTTTCCCATAATATTGAGAGATCTGTTAAATTAGTTCCAGATCTGTTTATTTCTAGGCTTGTGACATAGAAAACCATATTTGTTAGACTATCTCTTAGAAAATTGTCTTCCACTTACAGTTGTAAACTTGTGTACACAGGAGTTAGATTTTCACCTTTAAACTTGTAAGGAATGCCTGGCACATATTAGGTGTCCAATATGGATAATAATTTATTGAGTTAAATAGTGGATTGAATTAGTGTTTAATAATTCATTATGACCTCACTGATCTGGCTCTAATTCAACCACTGTAAGAGAATTGTGCATATTTCCTTAAAATTAGGAATGTAGTAAAAGATATTTTCTCATCATGAAGTATGTTTACAATTAAAATAAAGTGACCCTAAGAGATTAACTTTTAAAAATACAATGCGTTTTATGGGCTGAATTATGTCCCCACCAAATTCATATGTTGAAGGCCTAAACCCTAGTACTATATTTAAAGTAGAGCCTATAAAGAGATGATTAAGTTAAAAGGAGGTTGTTAGAGTGGGCCAATCCAAACTGACTGGTGTCTAAGAAGAGATTAGGGTACACAGGAAGACACCACAGGTACATGCATACAGAAGGACAGCCATGGGAAGACATGGTAAAGGTGGCTATCTACAAGCCAAGGACAGATGCCTCAGAAGAAACTAGAACTGCTGACACCTTAATCTTGGTCCTCTAGTCTCCAGAAGTATGAGAAGATCAGTTTCAGTTGTTTAACACACACACACACACACACACATTTATCTAAATTTGCCACACTAGTAGAGAGCTGACTATTCCACCTACAATAAGTAAAAATCTACAAGAATTTAGCACACCAGTTAACAAAATATAACTCTAACCTAGCATTCTATATATATGCATTCTTTTAAAATAAAATTCCTTATCCTATATATTAATAAAATTCTTTATTTTTTTTACTTAAAAACTATCTGAAAAACATCATACACTGGAAATACAAAGTAAAAGTTATTGAGAAGAACAAATTTTAAAATATTCAAAGGAATTGCATGAGGAATCATACTCATCTCTTCTTTGGAAGGAAAGAAAGATAATTCAAGAGAATACAACATATGCTTTAGCAAAATACTCGTAATTTATGTTAAATTCTTTAGGCTCTAGGATAAAAAGGAAAGAAATTGTGTGGCATGCCTTTGAAACAAGATGGGAAGTTTACCAAGGACTTCAGAAAGCTATGTCAAGTCAGACTGCTTTTAGATTAATTGTTCTGAGTTCTTCGGGGATGATAAAAAAACACTCATAGGCTCTGATCTGGCACGGAACTTTGGAGAGATAATTCAATTCATTAAATACTTTAACTTTTGCATTAAGGTTTTCCTTAGTGCTTTTCAGAAATCTTCTTCCCAAGGCATTGTTTAGGTGGGCAGTTCCACAGTTTACTACCATAGAAATAATTGTATTATTTTATCCTAAGGAATGGTAAGTTGCTGTATGACAAATATTGGGATAGTATACAATTTATGAAATTTTCAATAGTTTCCAGTATACAGAATACTTACAAACTTTATTCCAGATCAATATAAATTAATGTTATACCTTATCTTATATCTAAATGTTAAAAAGTAGCAATTGAGAAATAAAATTCCTTACCACTTGGCAATACCATGACTGGCTCTGTAAATCTTTGTTCATCTGCTGAAGGTAAGTTCAGGGAGATGATTAAAACCATTCCCAGACTAGTTCCAACAAACAAACAAGGGGACACCTTAGGGTCATTTTTCCGAGCAAAGGACTCCATGAAGTATAGTGCTGTAATTGCTTCTTTCGAATCTTTGTCAATACTGGAGATGCTAGAGCTTCTAGAACGATTATAGGAATTTTCTCGGCTTTCTATAGAAATTCAGAAAAACAAAAATTGTCAGTGTATTTCCATAACAAGTAAAGTCAGACTTAGTACATGAAAAACAAAATTATGAAGGGGAAGTAGAATTTGATTCCTTGTTAACTGATCTGGAAGACTGCTTGTCCAGTTCATCAGCTTATTTTGATAATGAAGAGATTGAAGTCCAGAAATGTAAATCATAAACTTTGGCAGAGCTGGAACTAGAAGTTGAGTCTCCAGAGTTCCAGTTCACCAGGTTTTTCTCCCTACATTACCTCACAAATTAGTTGAAATTTTCTGGTCTGGAAAAAAAAAAAATTTAGTCTGAGTAGTCAAGGTTACAAGAATTTCTGGTACCATTTTAATTATGGTTCCCTTCTATCTCTCAATTGTTGAAAATAGTCCTAATGATTTCTTGGCAATTTCCACCTACTGACAACATTATGGCTACTTAACTGAAAGGTCACAAATATTCTTGGTGAATACATTTCCCTAACTGACATAATTTTTGGTTTTGCTATATTTGGAGTAACTACAGTTGTAAAAATTGGAGTATTTACCAAGGCCAAAGAGCAAATGCTATATTCCTGAACTACTTTAAGGTTACCAACTTGAATCCAAATCCAGTTCTAACTTTACCTAGAACTAAATAAGAAGCTGTAGACAGGACCATCTCGTTGTTAATAGTAATCTGAGAGGGCTTCAGCCCACCTAAAGGAAGTAGAATGGTTTCAAGTCTTTCTGTTCATCAACACTTAAACATGTGCACATTCCAATAAGCGTAAAAGAACCTGCCCCCCAAGTTAAATACTACTGGAATGTTTTGTTCTTATAATTGCTCCAGAGTTCAAGTTCCTCATATTCTTTTTTCTACTGCATTCACTCCTTTTCTTTCTTGATGGGTACAAGTGTGACTCATTTTTATAAAAAGAGACTAAATATAAGTTCCTTAGACTCTTCTTTTTCTAAAAAGCAAAATATAGTATTCCTAATCCCCCTTTTCTATCCCTCAACAAGTTTGTAAAAATAATTATTTGTAATAGAATTTAGAGATGAGAGGGAGCTTGGATATAATCTATACAATTTTATAGATTTGGAGACAAAGACATAGAGTTAAGCAATTAACACAGAATCCAGGAGAAGTTAGAGGCAGAAATGTCTAAAACTCAAAATTCTCAACTCAACCCAGTGATTAAGAGTGCTACTTCTATAACCTTTACATTTTGCTTCTATTATAACATTCCTAGCTAATATGCTTTTGAAGTTTTTCCATTCGTGGTTCATCAACATTCGAGTTTGTTACTCATACACCTGTGAGAGAAATAATCTCATTATCTGCACATCCATGAACCAGATTTAGTATGGTATAATACTAAACTTTTAAATTTTTTGTAATTTAGAAAATTTTTTAAATTTAAATTTTTAAATATAGGTCATTACTAAAAAGTTTTTGAGGAGTGGTAAATGGGGAATTACTTTATAGAATAGAATTACTATAGAAAATCTTCTAAGATTATTTTTTCCTATATCTTTCCCCAAAGTTCTTTGCCAGCAAGACTGTAGCAACTAAGTTACAAGATTCCTTTTTTTTCTCCCTCTCTAAAAATTTCTGGCCTTCTAGCTCTTATACTTTAATCCCTGTTCCAATACTCATTCCATAAACATGCAATTAATCCTTCCTTTTAAAAACATATGAAGATTGCAAACTTTAGAACTTAAGATCTTGCCTTTTTCTTGGTCATACTCACTTGACAGTTGAGGAAATGAGGGTTGCAAGACATTAAATAACTACTGATAGAGGCACTAAAAGGCTTACCACTGAGATGGAAGGAAACTCTCAATTGCTGCTGGGAGTGTAGAGAACTGATTAAGGCATAGGTCTCCCCCTTGTACAGAGGATGTGCCAATAAGCACAGCCATTCCTTTTAAAGGAAGCACAGCACTTCTTTTTTGATATTTAAATTAAATTTAATTCACAACAAAACATCACATACGTCCACCTTCCCCAAAATGGTCAATTCATCTGAATTAAGGAAATGGCAACTATTCTGACTGAAGTCTTCATTCTGTGATATATGTGTTTGGGCAAGTTTAGGCAAACAGCAAAGGTTTAGAGGTCCTACCACCAAACCTACAGCATTTTGAAAATGCAAAAGCCAACATGATTCTCCAACCTGGCAGTTCAGTATGAGCTGCCAAAATCTCATCCAATTCATCCTTCCATTCCAGATAATTGAGGTTCCTCAGGGTCGTTACGCTTTTCCTTTGACAGCGGTCCAGGACACATGAGCTCTCCCTTCCGATTCCCTCAGTTAGCCTGGGCAACTCTAGTATCAGAACCATGGAAGTTCAACACCATTGTCACCAACTCTGGAAGATCAAAGTCGTGTTTCCAACCCCAGTCCTTCCGAGCATTGCTGTCATCAAAGTTCATCGGCCAACTATCTGCTATGGCCTGTCGAACAGAATCCACGTTGTTCGTGATCTGGAATTCTGGTACATGCTTGAGAACCTCCTGGGCCAGGTCCTCAGGGGTGAAGCTCATGGCATTGATGTTGTAGGTCCTCATGGAGAGGGACTCTGCCGGGGCCTCCATGACTTCCAGAGTGGCCCTGAGGCAGTCATCAATATACATCATTGGGAGCCTCGTGCTGGGTTTCAGGTTGCACTCAAATTTGCCATTCTTCAGGGCGTCGTGGAAGATCTGGACCGCATAGTCAGTTGTTCCTCCTCCAGGCTGTGAGTCTGCCGAAATGAATCCAGGATATCTCAAGCACCGAAAATCTAAGCCGTACCGGTAATGATAATATTCTCCCATGAGCTCGGCATGGACCTTGGACACCCCGTAGATCATCCTGGGCCTCTGAACACAGAGATCGGGGGTTGGATTCCGGGGAGAAGTAGGTCCAAAAGCTCCAATTGTGCTAGGCACAAACAATCGCAAATTGTGCTCTGCTGCGACATCCAGGATGTTATGCAATCCGGTGATATTTACGGTTCTGGCCAAGGATACATTTGCTTCCCCAACCGCACTGAGCAAAGCGCTGTAATGAAACAACCAGGTGATGCGGTTGTTTACCACGATCTCCCGAAGATTTTTGTAATCCAGAATGTCGGAATAAATAAACGGGCGGCTGTGGAAGATGTGATCAGGGGGTTTCCTTATGTCAGACAAAATCACTTTGTCCTTCCCAAATCGTTTCCTCAAAAGGTTAGCAAGCCCCACTCCAAGCTGGCCAAGACCCCCTGTAATTAAGACGCGTGGCTGGTCTGTTTCAGAGAAAAGGGCAGAGTGGAAGTTGGCGTCTGCTCGAATCTGACGAGGGGAGGTGCCCAGAAACCGGAGCGGCGGGGTAGCTATCCAGCAGCCACAGGCTGGGCTCCCCAGCATCTGGCCCGCGACCTGCCACAGCAGCCTAGCAACCGGCATTTGTCCGCGAGTACCCTTCCGACTGAGGCGCGCAGAGATGCTGCGCTGCGGCGCGGAAACGGGAGCTGGAGCAGCACGCGGCCCGGGATCCCAGCGCTGCCAGTGGAAACCCGAGCCACAGCACTTCCTTTTAAAAACATACGAAGATTGCAAACTTTAGAACTTAAGATCTTGCCTTTTTCTTGGTCATACTCACTTGACAGTTGAGGAAATGAGGGTTGCAAGACATTAAATAACTATCTACTGATAGAGGCACTAAAAGGCTTACCACTGAGATGGAAGAAACTCTCAATTGCTGCTGGGAGTGTAGAGAACTGATTAAGGTATAGGTCTCCCCTCGTACAGAGGATGTGCCAATAAGCACAGCCATTCTGGTTTTAGAGATGAAGAAGGAGGTATAGTGAGAAATGATTTGGAGTCATGGCCACAGCTTCACCAGGCTCTCAGTCACTCATTGCCTAGAATTGACTGTGGTTTTAAAGTATCTTTTACACCAAGACCTACATCCCTTGTCCTCTAGCTCCCATTATCATGGCATATCAAATTTTAATTGTATCCACAAAAATTTGTATGTTTAACTTACCTTCTGTTGTGACTGGTAAAGAAATTTCCATGCAAGCAGCTGATTGTGCTTTCCGAAATGGTGGTCTTCCAGGACCCCAGCGATTTACTTTTGAAACATCAGCACTTGACAGACGTTTTCCAGAACTGCAACTCTGAGAGGTTGGACTTGTGCAGTGTCCATTTACATGATCTGCATCAAGAGGAAGAAGGCAGCATAAATATAATTAAATCTTCATATAAAGGAACCCAAATATGTAGATTAATGAAGAGTGAGAATTCCTTTTTTTTAAACCATAAAAAGATGGCTAAGCCCTTGCTATTTTAAGATTAGTCACATTTTCAGTAGTTAGCCAAAATTTCATAAGATTTTTATTACATATAAGTTAATTTTTAATGTGGTTAATTAACATAGCTTAAAATTTATTCTATATCCCCATTCAGTATTATACCATTTAATGGCATTACAAAATAGGTTATAGTATTCGACTTCTTTTGCATAATTTAAATATACACCTATTTATATAAGTTTTGGAAGTACATCAAGTGCTTGGAGTTTAAAATATAGAATGGAAGCATCTTACTGTGCAGTTGCAAATAGTACTTAAGAATATTGATTCTAGAGCCAGACTGCCTGGGCTCAAATCCCAATTCTACCATTTACAAGTTGTACAAATTACTGAAGTCTTCATGTTTTAGTTTCCTTTTCTATAAGTTGGGAATATTATCTACCTCATGGAGTTTTTGTGATAATTCATGTCACATGCCAGAACACTTCTTGGTATATGGTAAATTCTGAACAAAAATTATTACTGTCATTCTTGTTTCAGACTAAACTGCTCATGTCTAAGACAAATAGTACTATTTATTTAGAGCTAGCTTATGAATTTATCTCTGTTTTGATAGAACTTAAAAACTTGGAAATAATGCCACCAAAAATAGATCTTTTTTAAATGCTAATATATAATATTTGAAAAAATGTCTCATAGTTCTGTAATATTCAGAGTACATTTAAAAATGTACTTTGGTCATTCAAAGGACAATAGAGTTAAATGGAAAAAATCCTGTTTAATGTCCATATGGTACTAAGTGTCTACTCCATTATAGCCTTTTTGCATTCTAGAGTTTGAAAAATAATTGTCAATTTCCTGGGTTTCCTTGTGCAAGGATGACAATCCAATTATGTTTCACCATTCATATGCATTAGTATGTTTTGCTATTTTTTAAAAAGGAGAGTTAACATATTTATTAAATATTTAAATACCAGGCACTTCATACACATTACACATTTAATCTTCACAACAGCCCTGCAAGGTAGATGCTTTATTATCCTGATTTTGCAGTTGAGAAAACTGAAGCTCAGGAAAAAGGTTTGGAAAATTGTCTAATATTGTATAAATAGTATTCATAGAGGCAGAATTCGGATCCAGATTTTCTCACTTAGTGTCTGTATGCTTAAAAACTGGGCCACAGGGCCAGCTAAAGTATTTGGTAAGGGAAAGAAATTTTGAAGACATATTTAGTCGGGTTTAGGAGTGGCCTGTGTAATGCACATTGAGATCTATGATTTTTGGGTCCAGTCATCTTCCATATTAACACAGATCTTGGGATTCTCAGGATTCCCAGATGAAAAGGCAGAAATATTCCTTAATGAGTTAGTCATGGGGAAGCTGAAGTCAAGAGCTCTATCCCTTCTGCACTATCAAATGTAGTCTGATAAATAGGAAAACACTGAGAACAACAGCTGGCACTAACAAAGACTTAAAATGAATTAAAAAATGGCAACTTTGGTAGCCCAGTCAGTTAAGCGTCTGACTCAATTTCAGCTCAGGTCTTGATCTCAGGGTCGTGAGTACAAGCCCTACATTGGGCTCCATGCTGGGCATGGAGCCTACTTGAGATAAAAAAAAAAAAAGAAAAATTGGGTACAAATTGCAAAAATAAGCCCCATTCTGCATACATCTGTTAGGAAAAGTTGCCCCTTCATCAGGCATGATTGCCTTGGTTGGAGGACACGTTGGTTTGTTAATTGACTTAATGTTGGTTTGCTTGATTAATTTGTTTTAGCAGGAAAAGAATTTATGGAAGGATATTAGGCCACTCAAAACCTCAAGGAGAACCTGGAAGGTATACTCAGAAGCTTTGCAGGCCAAAACAGTGCCCAACCACACTGTAGTTACTATTTTAGTAAAGAACCACTGTTAGTGGCTCAGCATTGATGATGCTGGAATTAGATATTACGAGCTGTGCTTTTGCTGGCCAGGTACAGCAGGACATCTCTGCCATCATAATCACCAAAACTGAGGTTTATGTAATTTTTAATTTGTCTTCATTTTAGTGTTTTTGACTATTCTTGTTTTCTTTTTGCTGACATTTTGAGATTTTTAAGCTCTTATTTTTAGGATTTTTTTTTTGAAGAATTTTAAGGTGAAGACCAGGTTGTGCTGAATCACAGACTTCCCCTTGATCAGCTTAATTTTTATCTCCAGTTTTAATTTGATTCTTCTATAGCAAAAATTTTATAGCTATGATTTTGTTGTCAAAGCTAAAAGTGCTTTGAATGAGCACAGGTTTATATACCTTGAGTTTAATGTTTAGTTTCTGAAATCCAAAGTTTCAAAGAGCTTCTTTCTCTTCATTTCTCCAAAATTACCCATTTATTCAAGTTTAACTTATAATTTGTTCATTTAAAAGTAGATGTTTAAAACTACTTGGGACCAACTTTACAGTTTTAGGGAAAATAATCTCTTACTGAAAACATTGCCTAAGGCTTTGTTCATCAGTGATGAATAGAATGTTTTAACTTGCAATAAACATTTTTAAAATTTCAGCTTCAATGAGGTATAATTGACATATAAAATTGTAACATACTTAAAGTGTACATCATGATGATTTGATATAGATCGGGAAAGGATTCCCAACATCTAATTAGTTAACATGCCTATCAGTTCACATATTTATTTATTTTTTGGTGAGAACATTTAAATTCTCTCTTAGCAAATTTCAATTACACATTACAATGTTATCAATGATAGCCATCATGTTTTACATTAGATTCCCAGAACTTACTCATAGCTGAAAGTTTTTACCCTTTTACAAACCTTTCCCTATTTTTCCTACTCCCCAGCTCCTGGCTACCACTTTTCTATTCTGTTTGTATGAGTATAACTTTTATTTTACTTTTTAAAAAGATTCTACATATAAGTGATACCATGCAGTATTTATCTTTTGGCTTAGTTCACTTCACGCAATGCCTTCATTCATGTTGTTGCAAATGGCAGGATTCCATTTTTCTCATAGCTGAATAATATTCCATTGTGTATATATATACCACATCTTTATCCATTCATCCACTGACAAGACAACTTAACATTGTTTCCCTATTTTCGCTCTCATGAATAATGCTGAAATGAACATAAGAGTGCAGACAGTCCTTCAATATACTGTTTCGTTTCTTTTGAATATATACCCAGAAGTGAGGTTGTTAGATTACATGGTAGTTCTATTTTTAATTTTTGAGGAACCTCCTGCATATTAAGGGCCAGATAGCTGGTTTGTAGAAGCACACCCTGAATGCCCCTGTTAATCATTATCTTGAGAATGTATAGATCCCGTGCATCTTCTCTGTTATTTTCCACAAGCAAGATAGGTAGAAAATGAGTTGTTCAGCATTCCAGGTCAAGGGCTCCAGGGTTGGCCAACCTAGAGTATCTCCTTGGTAATGCAGAATGTCCAGGTGGTGGGCTTTTATCTCTTTGGAACATTTGCCATGCAAGGAGGGGCAAAGCTACAGAGAATTGCTAGGATAATTGCTACACTATAAAAGTTTGCTGCATTTAGTTTCCAGCCGCAGATGCTTTGTTCAATTGGCCACTCCTGGACTCCCTGTACTTAAGTTCCCCCAATAAACTTAGGTCTCAGTCGCTGTCTTTGGGTCATTCCTTTGTTCTCGTTGGGTCATCACCCACATTTGGTTGAGAGTCTACAGAAATGTGGCTACACACCTCCATATTGTTTTCCATAATGGCTGCAGCAATTTACATTCCTACCAGCAGTACATAAGGGATCCCTTTTCTTCACACCTTCCTTAATACTTGTAATTTCTTTTTGATGATAACCACTGTAACAAGTATGAGTGATAGCTCATTGTGGTTTTGATTTGCATTTCTCTGATGATTAGTGATGTTGAGCACATTTTCATGTAACTGTTCACCATTTGTATGTTGTCTTTGGAAAAGTGTCTATTCAGTTCCTCTGCCCATTTTTTTTTATTTTAGTATGTTATGTTAATCACCATACATTACATCATTAGTTTTTGATGTAGCGTTCCATGATTCATTGTTTGTGTATAACACCCAGTG